AACAATGAATAATCAACAATATATAAATCAACAAAAAAAATTGGTGAACGACCTTTCGTTCTTCTTCTTCCTTCTTCCTTCATCTGCTTCTGCTTCTGCTTCTCTTCTATCTTCCAATAAAGGTCAGTCATTTTAACCCCCACCTTTCTAATTTCCATTTGTGATGATGGAGTGATGATGGAGAAGAAGAAAAGGGATGTTTGTTTTGTTGTTTTTTTCCGGTGTTATTCAGGTCTGAGTTCTCTCTTCTTTTTCCTTGCAAACTTTTGTCTATGTGTATTTCAATTTTATTAGAACTTTCATATATTAGTCGGTAGTCTAATTACATTGGGAGTTTAGTATCATCGGCTAGGTAGTCTTTTGTCTTCAAATTGTTGGAGTCTACTATTTTTCTTATATGAGCATGAAAATGTAATTGAGTTTTCAAGCAGACAATAGAATTAAGATAAGTGTTTAATCCCCAATCAAAGGATTAGAACTGGGTTGACTGATCACCAGTCGAAGGATCAATGTTCAGGATCCTCTCAGTGGTCCATGTAAATTTAAGAAAAAGACTTAATTGCAAAACAATGTCTCTGCTGCTTCCTACCAGAACCTTATACCCTTCATTCAATAAAACATAGAATTAACATAGAATTTTGTGGGGTATTGTTTGTTTGCGATTTTGCGAAAAACTCAAAAAAGTGTTTAAGCTCAACAAATAGATGTTAAATTTTGCGAGTGTTATTAAATTTGGTGGGGTATTATTATTTATCAACAAAATAAATAGGGGCTTATGGGATTTTATTTGCTGCAAAAGCAAAGTTTTTTCAAAATTCTCACGCGCGATAGATTGTTGTGATTTGGGTTTAGTTTGTAGGTCCTCGAGTGGCATAATTACAACCATCAAAGGTCCTCAATTGCAAGCTTAATTAAACCGTTATCCAAACTCCTGCAATTTTGTATATAAATATTACACGCGTTTGGGGTTTGGAATAAAATTTCCGTTCAATGAGTTCAAATTGGGTCACAAGGATTTTAGCCAAAAAAAAACTCATTTTAAGTTCATTTAGGGCGTCAAAATTTTGGTTGTTTTTTATTAATTAAATCTAATTGGGTGGTTAGATTACAATTTCCAAAATGCCAAATGTATATATAGAAATCCCCATTACAGAAAAATGTAAAAACGGAATCAATATCTATTTTCGACCAACTTTATAGTATACTGTTGATCATTAGGTTTGTAGGTAGCGATTTCTACATCATGGCTGTTTTTCTCGGCGGTTCCAACGCTTTTGGTTTGTAAACTTGCCATGTGAAGATCCTCATACTACCTGTTTACATGAACTTATTCTGTCTCAGGCACATTTTTCTCTGTCTTCACATGGATGCAAAACGGATAAGCCTGAGACAGAGATTGATGCATACAAAACACTATCCTTGATCTTAATCATATTTTTTATAACAGAGAGTATGGTTCCATGAGTTTCAGAGGTATATATTTTTTTTATTGCAGAGAGTACCTTAATCTCCTCCAATTCTTCATTGATTTCTCTGGCTTCCCTAAATTTCAGCCTCAAGACAGAAGAAGGGTTTGATGGCTCTCAATATTGAAGACATATCAAGAAGGTACGACGTACTCTTGATTATTATCCATTTCTGCTGTTGCTACTTGCCCTCAATCTCTGTTCAATTCTTTCTCTCTTTTACATTAATACATAGCCATTATAGATTCAGTAAAATCAACAAAAGCCTGGTAAACATTTTTTTTTTGTGTGTTAACAACTTAACATATATGTTTTCTTAAACATAGTCAGGTCCATTTAGAAAAAAGGTTCAAGCCTAACCATGCTCTGTATTGTGTGTTGGTAATAAAAAACATATATACTATATAATATGTCAACCATATATGAAGGCTCAGTATGTATATACGAGAAAAGGTTGAATTAGATGACCATCAATGTTATCAGGGTTTATGATTACTCTGATTTCATCAATGTTATCAGGGTTACCCTCATATTTATTTTGAGCGATTCCATACATTTCATGCTTTCTTTTGCTTCAATGACTACCATATTTTAATTAATTGCCCGGTGTAGCTCAGTTTCTTAGAGCATGTGGATTTTAAACCATAAGGTCGAAGGTTCAAGTCCTTCCTCCAGAATTTGCATTTTCTACAAATTTTGACGTTTAGCATTACGGGCTATTTAGAATAAGCATGACTTCTCAGATTGAATTTTGTTCGGTTACAGGATTAGTACTCATTCTTTACTTTTGCAACCTCACATTCACTAGGGTTTTTGAACAATTCTCGAGGCTGATGCAATTCACCTTGCATAGCTCAGGTATATGTTGTATACATAATCATTCTTTGTGATTTTTTTCACTTATTGAATGTATTATCACATATGAGCCTATGGCTCAACGGTTGCATCCCTCTCACAAAGTGTTGAGGTTGTGAGTTCGAAACATGTCAATAGCTGAGTGTTTAATAGTAAGCAGGCTCACGTAATTTAATGAGGTAAGGGTCCTCTCAACCTTGCTTGCCAATCAAAAAAATAAACATTAAAGTAAAAATTCAATGTTTCATCTGTCCATATGAGTTCTAAAATAGGTTTCCTCCTATAGGACCTCTAATGATTTAGTTCGTTTTTTTAAAAAAAAATGTCTTGAATTTGGTGCAATTGAGTGTTTAAGCTCAGAGAAATCAATAATACGGTTAACTAAATCCAAATTAATTGTGAAACAACACATTCAATCATTACATATTTAAGACTTTCCTGGTGTTTTGGTGTATAATACATTCTCCATCATATTGATTTGTTAATTACGTGATTTTTTTTGTTCTGAGCTTCGCTTAGATGCAGTAAGAGTTGCAGATTTAGATGAACCAATTACCTTAGATATGGAATTAAATGTAGTAATTTCACTGATCATGAAGAAAAGATGATTATCCACCTTCAAGCACTATTGGGAAATAGGTAAAATCATTGACCCACCTATAGGTTTAATTTATTTGTGGGGGTCAGAATTTTTTGTATGTTTTAAACCTGATGGATGAGTTGATTTGAATGGGTTGATCATGGTGTTTCTTACGATACATATTCAAAGTATCAATAAATTGAACGGGTATATTGAAAACATTGCAAACGGATGGGAACCAAATTGATTTTGTTTTTTTTTCTTATCACTACACAGATTTGAACAAAAGAGATGGAGTATCCAAATCAATAAGGTTCTGCTTGAAAGTGCTATTGACTCCATTATTGTGAACATAGTTTATGGAATATGTGAATCAAATTTTTCTCATGTGGGAGTTGTTAATGTTTTTCAAATATTTCTGCTTTTTATGTTGATACCTTTTTTTGTTCACATCGGAAGTTTAATAATAGGAAAAAGAGTGTGCTCATCTCTGTACTATAAGGTAGTGAGCTACTAAGTTGAAACATTCTACTGCGGTGTTCAAAACTTCAAATCAATAGATCTCAATACGTCATTCCTCATGCTCCGTAATATTGTAGTCGCTTAGCTTCGTTAGGATTAATGATGCATTCTTAGAACCCTGAGCTGTTTTGTCTTTGTATTATAGGTGAGCTTATATGTTTTCATCTTCCATCCAAATAAAAGGTTTGGGATCGTGAAATGATCTTAATAATAACTGATCATTATTTTTTCACAAGCGGCCAGAGGACTGCCTTGGGATACATCGCAAAAGTGAGTTTGCTTCAGATTATGTTTTCCAAATTTGCATATGGTTAATAATGGATATTTGTCGTCTCTACCTCTCGCAATGTGTATGTGTTCCCCAGATTATCAATGTTTTTATTTTCATTTATACTACCAAATTCTCTAATGTATGACCTTTATATAAAAAGGTTATTCAATCCCTTTCTTCAGATTTTTTTTATTCTCAATGATTTTGTTGTTGCTGTTAACATACGACAAATGCAAATGAAGCAGTCTATTAATTGTTAACCATGGTTACCCTTGCAGGTGGTTTTGCGTATTGGTGTGCTTCATCTGATACATCTTCAAATCCTATATTGGTCCTAAATTAAAAGCAACAGAATTTCTTCTCTTCTTAGAAGGTCAAGACACAACAAGAGCGGCTTATGTTATATTCTTGCTCAAGAAGGTTTGTCACTTTTCTTTTACTATGTTATTTTATGACTAATGACTGAGAGGTCTATTTTTTTTTTTTACTAATAACTGAGAGGTCTATTTTTTTTTACTAATGACTGAGATCAAGTGAAATTAATCATTTGATCAAGTGTCAATGAGATTGAAGAACAAGATGATACGTACAGATTGTTTTTTTTTTTTTTATGTGAATTTGAAAACAATCTAGAGTTGCCCGGATGTAACAATCAAGTAATTACTTTATTTATTTTTTTGAACAAGGTTATTTCTTTTCAACGTTTATGCGCCAACAAGTTTAATCTCTCTGATCATTCGCCAAAATAGAAAAGTCAAGCTTCTTCTATTTAGGCATCGGTTACCTCTACATCATCCTTCCTTTCTCTCTTGCTTAACCAAAGTCTTCTTTCTTCCTCTTTCTT